CCGCTTGCCGGGGCCCGGCCTGCAGGGAAGAAAAGTATACCCCCCGATAGGGGTACGATCGAGGACGAAGAAGGCGGGTATCGAGGGTTTGGGGAAATACGCGTTAACGGGCACTCGAGCAGATAAGAACGAACAGTCTTAAAATGATGATTGTTGTTGTTGTTGTTGTTGCTGTTGTTGTTGTTGTTGATGATGTTTGTTGTCCTCGTCTCCCCCGTGACCCGGCCCGCGACCCGCCCCGCGACCCACTGGCGACCCACCCGCGACCCACCATGCGACCCACCTACACTGCTTTAAAGAAAGATCGGCGCCTGCGGCGGGCTTCTTCAAAGCCTTGCAGACTGCCGACGTCCTCGTCGCCACCTTACTCTTATCCACGACTGCGGGGGTCTGCGGAAGGAAGAACAACGGAGGAGGAGGGGGAGGAGGAGGAGGAGGAAAAGGAGGAGGAGAAAAAAGAGAAGAAAGAGGAGGATGAGGTGGAGGTGGAGGAGGAAGAAGCGGAGGAAGAGGAGGATACAAGGTGCTGGACAGCGGCCCTCCTCCGCGCGCGCTCTTACTCGAGTCGGGTCGAGTCGAGTCGCTCCCCGTTCATTAAAAAGTGGCTCCAGCGAAGGGGGGGGGCGGCGGCTGCTAGCAGACAGGCGGGCACGCCTGAAGCACCGAGGCGAGAATATGGCGTGCGCTGCCCGTGCTCAGTGAGGGTGAAGGCCGAATCTGACTGGCTCTACACTTCAGTATTGCGTGCTGCCGTTTCACGATTCTCCTCGCAAGCCCCGACGAAGCCGTCGCGCCATCTTCTCGCTGGCCGGCCGATGCGGTCTCTAGTGCTTTGAACGCGTCCTGGGCCTCGCAAGAACACTTTGCATGGCCACTTGTGCATGCCGCTGGATAGCGATGCGCCGGCTGCTCCCCAGTTTCTCGCTCTGTATGGCGCAATCCAATCTTGAGAGCCAACATATTCCAAACGTTTTTCGATGTGACGTGCCGTGCGCTGTAGCCCATCATCCCATGGCTCCAATTCCTTCCCCGCGAGCTCCTCATCTTTCCCGTCGCGCACCGGCGCGCGCCTTCGACCCGACCCATTGACAAGTCTCAGCATCTGGCGCTGCGTTTTCACTGGCCTCCGCACCACTTCGGCCGTGAAAGTCCAGTGGGCTGCGCCGTAAAGCGCACGCGGGGTGACCGCTGAGTCGAGCAATCGCAATCTCGATCGGGTCGGGTAATTGGCATTTGCGAGCTCCTCCTAGGAAACGTAAAACTTCCTCCATGCGGAATATAGCTGGTCATCTAATTCAACGCACTGTGGATCTTGCAAACATACTTTCTGGCCCAAATATTTGGTTACCTCATCGTGTATGAGAACGTTGACCGGCATCTCTTTGGCCCAAATGTTGTCTTGTGCTGCCTCCCCGCGTCTTGCCCGTGTATTTGACATTGCTACCAGTTTGGCTGGGTGCGGCATTCGCCCGCATCTCTCGCGCGCCACGACGACGTCTGCTGACGTGCGCTTCAGACCTGGAAGTCGTGAGGTGCCTGCCAAAACCAATCGTCGGCGAGGCGTGAATTAGTCAGCCATTCGCCATTCAAGCTGAAGCAGCGCGAACCTTCCGCCCGCGCGCTTCTCAGCGACCGGAAAATGAATTCCAAGACAGTCTGGGAAATAACCCGGCTCAACGGACACCCCTGTTTGGTTCCTCGTCGCGTGCAGAATTCGCGCGACGTGTTGTCAAGCTTCGCCGTGGCAGTCTGGACAAACACAAGTTTTGTAATATCTTGACATCTGGCTTGGTGGCTCCGTGCTGCAGCTGCGCGGCCCAGATGCTGTCGCGTGGAATGCAATCGAAAACTTTCTCGAAGTCCATCGCGGCGATCCACGGGGACCTCTCCCATTCATCACGTCGTTCATGCAGTGGAATGAAAGCGAGCAGATGGTCCTCTGCGCTGTAATTCGCACGAACTCCTGCCTGACCAATATATCGCGATGCATCTTGTATTCGTGTCGAGCGACTCTGGGGAAGCCTGCTATATGACTTATCTAGCAGCGGGAAATTGTTATTGGCCCATAGTTTGATGGCAAGCGCGGTTCCCCGTCCTTGAACAAAGCTGTGATGGGGGACTGTCGCCGACTCTCTGGTGCCATCCCGTTTGGGCTCACTATGTCATTGAACGAGACAATTGTCAACTGGACTAGAGCTTCGCCTCCGTTCTTCAGAATTTCGCCTCTGATGCGGGCCCTGTCCTGTGCCTTCTCTCGTTTGAGTGTCCTTGTCTCGCCTCGTGCTTCATCGCGCGTGAGCGGCGATATTTCTTCCTGGCCCTCATCTCCCAATGAAAACTTTGGCCCCGTTGCTCTGTGGTGATCTTCGTGAAAATCTGCAAATGTATCTGCGACTGCTTGCGTGTCCCGGTGGCGCGTCCCAGATTTGTCGCGAGCTTCCGCTATGTTGCTCCGGCGTCTTATGGTCTTCGTTTCTGGTATGTTTTCGATTCCTTTGAACTCTAGGAGTATTTTGCCCATGTGTTGCCTTTGTCGTTGTCCCTGTATTCGAACAGTGCCACGTTTGATCTTCTGGCTGATGGCGGACCTCTTGGGCGTGAAATGCGTTGCAAGCGCTTTCCTGTCCGAGATGAGCTGCTCCAGGTAGCCGTAATGTTTGTCATTATTGTTCTTGGTCTTTCGTTCTGGCGCGGCCTCCGCGGCTGCGTCGCGAAGAATGATTGCCCTGTAGCGAAGGGCGACGGTCGTCCACGGTGCCGCTCTCCAATCTCGAGTCGCATGTGCGAATTGATAGTTTTTCCAAGTAAACTTCTTTATGGCGCTCTGCCCTGCCGCGCGAGCGTCTGTCGCCGCCAACTTTGCCATCGACTCCCTCTTATCCAGTAGCAGGGGGCGCCCGGAACGTAGCGCGAACGGCGCGGTGATCTGGCCCGAGCTCCAAAGACTTCTTGGACTGCGCGTGTTGTAAACATAACTGTGGGCAACGAGTCGCAATCGTGTTATCGAGCTGCTTAGGTATGTTGTTTGCGCCTGCGAAAGTATCCTCCATCCACGCCCAATGCGTGCATGACTGGCCTCTGCAAGTGCGCCTTGTCATTCCGCGCTCCCCCGCCGCGCCTTTTTCTGCAAAACCTCGGGGCGCGCCGCGCCGCCGATAGGTGCGCCCGGAGAGGCGCTGTTCGAGGCGGCGCCCATGGCCCGGAAGGGCTGCTTCAAACGCTGCGTGAAAAGGCGCAGGCCTTGTCTTGGCATCGAAACCACAAATCAGCGCATGATCGCGCGCCCGCGCGGCCAATGCACCAGTCGACGACCTTTGCGCTACTGTCCGCGGCGCCGCCAACCTGTGGGCAGCGCGATGGTAGGGGCCAGGGCGTACCGGGGAGATATGCGTCTAGTCTGACCCCGAGACGTCACGGGCGAGCTGCGCCCCGCCGGGCGCCGCGGCAGCAGACTCCCCCCTCGTGATGGAGCCCGCCACCCTCCAAAAATGCGCAGCCTGGATCAGACCCGAGGCCAATCCCTTGAACCGCCAATCCTCGCTGCCAGAGAGGAGGTCAGCGCAAAAACGTCCGATTTGGGAGTGGATCTGCGGGGGGGGGGGCATTCCTTACACTGAGGCCCGGCCTCCGGAGCCACATTAAGAAACTTTCTGGACGCGGACAGCAGCGCGTGTTCTGCCGAGCAAATCTAGCGCCGACATTTCTCCACCCTTCAAAACAGACCAAAAGGGCAGCAATTTTGCTGCCGGCAACCCCGCCGTCCTCGACACAGCCAAGGCGTTGTTTAGCTTTTGCGCCACATGTGCCTCGGGCTCAGGGTGCGAGAAGGCAGCGAGCTCGGCAGATGCATCAGCAAGATTGTTACCCAGACGTTTGCATGTGCCATCATCATCATCCAGGCGCTCTTGAAACATCCAAGTGGGCTTTCACATTGCGAATGCCTGTGATCGGTAGGTTTTGACGAACAAGCTGGGCGCATCTTGCATGCGCCCTACTGTGGCTGGTCTGGGTAACCCAAGACATCGCCGCGTACTCAAGAACGTTGAGACAATCAGGGACAAATACAAAAGAACCAGCCAGGTCTAGCAGCCGCAGCAAACGTGTGATATTCAGCACCCTGAGGGGTTCCAGGGTATGGAGGCCAGACGTGGCCCCTGATCCTGATGACTTCATTTGAAGAAACGCGATCCAAAAACATGACAGCCCGATCAATTCTCGATAACACACGAGTGGCATCACGGAAATTGGAACGATCCAAGGACATTTCCCCATGGATGTCACTGGAAGTAACAAGATGATCAAAGCCAGGACACAGCTCGGTGACCACTCCTTCGCCTTCGAGAGGCTGAGGGTCATATTCACCAAGAAGAGAAAAGACGCCACATGTAACCACGACGTCATCCGAATCCTCGGCCCCCACTGGCGTAACTTAGCACGAACAAAATCCGCGGAGTGTCGTTACAAGCGGAGCATCTTGATATTAGGTGCTTAGCGTGTCAACCTCTTCCCCGCAGAGCCCGAGATTTGGTAAGCAAGCTGTCGGCCCTTGGACCGAATACAAATGGCGTCGCAAAGCACCGAACGGATGCAACTTTTCATACGCATCCATCTTCTAACCACGCAACCAAGATGAAATGCCGTCGCCACGTCCAACGTTGATGCGCGCGCAGCGAACGCACCATAGAAAATGACACCTCCGTGAGGTGCACATCAATGCCAATCTCAGTCCTGGGCACCGTGAGCGAGGGCATGTTTCAAGATATCCTTTCAAGGGGTATCTCATGGAAGGAGGGGGAGGACCAGCAGCATGAGGGCGAGCAGAAGGAGGACGAGCAGCAGCAGGAGGACACGTATGAGGAAAAGGGGGAGCAAGAGGAGGAGCAGGAGGAGGAACAGGAGGAGGAGGAGGAGGAGCAGGAGGAGGAGGAGGAGCAGGTGGAGGAGGAGGAGGAGGAGGGAAGGTGAACGAAAGCGAAGCCGGCGCCGCGCAGCGAGGAGTCCTCCTGCGCCTTGTCGTCGTCCTCGTCGCCCTCCCCAGCCGCGCGCGCCTGGCGGCGGGCGAGGCCGCGGGGCGCGGGGGAGGGGGGCTCCTGTCGTCGTCCTCCATTCGTTTTTCTTATTTATAACTGACTTTTCCCTGTCGCACCCCGAGGCCTGTGGAATGGGTGGGCCGTGCGTTTCGCCTGAGACTTCATTTAGGACCCTGAAGCTTAAACGTTGGCAGCAGTTTCAAAATGTGGCTCTCGCCTTAGCGTCGCGCGCATCATTCGATGTTGAAATTCGAAGAATTTCACGGATTGACGGTGCCTCTTTTTCACAATGTGGTTCTCGCCTTAGCGCCTTTTTGAAATTTGCGAGTTTCACGGACTGAAGACGGGTGGTTTTCAAAATGTGGCTCTCGCATTAACGCCGCGCGCATTATTTTTCAGAGTTTGCAAGAGTTTCACGGACTGATGGCGGGTGGTTTTCAAAATGGGGCTCTCGCCTGAGCGTCGAGCGCATCCTTTTTAACATGTGCAAGATCTATACGGATTGAGGACGGTTCGTTTTCAAAATGTGGCTCTCCCCTTAACGCCGCGCACATTCGTTTTAAGAGTCCACAAGAGCTTCACGGATTCCCATGGTCAACTTACCAGACATGGTGTTTCCGAAAAATTCAAGATTATGAGGGCGCAACAATTACGTTGATTCGCGGTGTTGAAGTCCCACGAATGGCGTTCTGGCGCGATTCTGGTTCGTCAAGGCGCAACGGTCAAGTTGATCCGTGGCGTTGGAGTCCCAAGAATAATGTTTTGGCATGCTTCAGGGTCTTCCAACGGTTGTCTTCCAACGGGGCAGTTCCCTCAGTGAAACCGATCCATTGTAGCGGCCTATGAAGAGGGAGCTTGGAGGGAGGGTTTATGCCAACATCGTTGATGACTCTGTAGTTTACAATGGTCCTCCTCCTCCTCCTCCTCCTCGTTCTCCTTGTCCTCGTCCTCCGCGTCCTCGTCCGCCTCCTCCTCCTCCTCCTCCTCCTTGTCCTCGTCCTCGTCCTCGTCCTCGCCGGCCTCCTCATGGTCCTCTCTGTGCTCCCGGGCAAGGGTGGCTCCGCGGGCCGCGACGGCAGGGGCAACGCCCAAGGGAAGGAAGGAAGGAAGGCTTCGACGCTCGAGGCTCTCGGACGTGCTCCTCGGCCCTCGGCGGCACTCTGGCCGGGGGGTGCCTCCCAGCGGCTGCACCTCGCCGGGAGCGCTCCCAGAGGTGCCTGGATTGTCCCGAGCGGCCACCAGAGAGCCGAATTATGATCTGAGAGATGAAAGCCAACGCCAGGGGGATAGGCTCAGGGGGCAAGTGCGGGGGCCAAGTCCCAAGCGCGCTGGCCTGTGCTAGGGGACCCCTGTGGGTCCGCAGCAAGGGTCACTCCGGCGAAGGGTCTCCCTTATGTGTGGCCGGTCGTGGGAGCTCTCGGCCAAAGAGCGGGGCCCGGCAGAAAAAACGCGGGGGGCCCTCGGGGACTCTTCCAAGAGCTCGTTGACAATTGGACGGGCGCCGGAAGTACTCTGAAAGTACACTCGGCGCGCGAGCGCTGTCCTGCTGCGGCTGTGACTGCCGCTTCGGGGCGATCCGCCCGTGGGCGCAGCATATGCAATTGCGCTATACGCGCTCCTGGCCTGGCCAGGAAGGCATATACACCAGTCCTGGGCGCCAGGGTCGGCCCGGCCAGGATGGGTGCCGAGGTGCAGCTGGCGCTCTCCGATCTCGGGAACTCTCGGAGGCTCCCAGGAGGCTCCTGGGAGGCTCTCGGGGGCCCCTGGATGGCCTCGGAGGCTCCTGCAGCTTCTGGGGTGTGTGGCCCGAAGTTTTTCTGGTGATCAACTAAAGTCGGTTGGGATATCTGAAGGGGCCCTGGGACACACAAATAGATACACACAAATAAAAAGATTCCCCATATTTTCCTATATTTTCTTGGTTTTTGTCTTCCCCACCACTTCTCATATTTTCCCATATTTTCCTGGGGATCGACGATTAATTGTGCCTGTGTGTTTTTTCCCCTCCTGAATATCATAATATCATATGCACGAATCCCTGTTCGGCGCGCGGGTCCCCGCACAGTGTCCATGGGTCCCGCCACTGGCATGACGGAGCGCCACCGCCTTGGAGGCTACGTTCTCCGGTTCCCTCCTGCTACTTTAAGCGCCAGGCTCGGGGGCGTCCAAGAGGGGGCTCGCAAATCATGGCCCGAAGCATGTGCGCGGCCCAAGGGGGGGCCCGCGGGACGCACTGCGATAAGGAAAACCGCCGTGAAATCTGGGGAGCTACCATGGCCCCGGCCATGAGATCCCCTCCCCTAATGATCACCCCCCTCTTGGCCGCTCCCGACATGCGGGGCAGAAGCCGGGGATTGCCATGCCACCACAATTTATCATTTCATTTACGGGGGCCCTTCAGCAGGCTTGCGTCGACCTAGTAATTTTCAGATCGGACCTGACAGTGGACCTCTGGCGCGCTGCATCCACTGCCTCTTTGACGGAAGAAACCCATTCGGGTCGACCTGAACATCTTCACGTGCAAAGGCTGTTCTCGCTGGTCACCGCCACCAAGCTGTGTAAGTCTAGAAGAAGCTCCATCGTCATCGCCACGGAGGTGACTGAACCGTATCCGCGTTTTTTGTTTCGTACACCCTGCGAAATGCTTAAGAAATCATGGGCTAAGAAATTCATAGTCTCAGAACTTGAATAAAAACCAAACATTTCCGTTAAAATCTTAAGATTTACATTGAAACGTTAAGAATAATCGAGACTCTGGCCGAAAACGTAAGTTTTCTTAAGCATCGCCTAAGGTGTAGACGCGAAGTAGGAGGAGGACGAAAAAGACCAACATCATGATGAGAAGACGCGGCGACCTGACGAGGAGGCGGAGGAGAAACACAGGCGGGAGGACGAGCAGGAGCAGAAGCAGGAGGAGGAGGAGGAGGATGAGGATGAGAAGGACGAAGGGCGGAGGGAGGAGGAGAAGGAGGAGGAGGGTGAGGAGGAGGATGAGGAGGAAACATACATAATACGTTGGAGTTCGTCGCGGGAGGTGGTGCCATCTGTTCGGTGCGAGCTACGTGGTACAAGCTACGTGATGCAACTCTGTAGTGCGATGCATGTGGTGCTACCATGTGGTGCAATCAACTTCGACTGCCTTGAAATCATCAACTCCACTGTTCGTGCAAACATCCCACCCGCCGACCCGCAACTTGTTTGTCAAAACCGGCTCGGCCACGATTGCGGTTCCCGATTGGAACTTGCCAACGCGTCTCTACGGCCGTGCTGGCGCGCGCGCGCGCAGAGCGGCCAGGTGGTTCGCAACAATTGATATGGTAGCGATGGCACTTACCGGTGAAACTTCCCTGCGCGTTTTCAAGGCCGCGGTGGCACGCGGGCGTGTCAGTGCTAGTCAGTGACTCGGGCGTGCCAAGGACGACGTCGATGCTGGTGACGACGATGACGATAATGAGTCCATGTGTCGGTGGTGAAGGTAATCGTGATGATGATGATGGTGATGGTGATGATAATGCTGATGATGACGATGATGATGGTGATGATGGTGATGATGATGCTAATGCCGGCAATGACGGCGATTGTCGATGACGAAGACGGCGGTGATGTGATGGCGCTGGTGAGGGTAATGAGGAAGTGCGCGCGCGTAGAAATTCAATACATCTTAGATCTCTTGTTAAACGACTTATGGCTTCATCTGTTGTTGAAGAGCTCTGTCTTCAAATGCTTCGAGAAACACTAGTTCTGGACGGATTTCGGCACGCGCACGTTGCGGGGCGCGCAAATGGCCCGCATTGTATCATTAGATACGGATCTGTCCACAAGGCGCATTCGAGATTAATGTGGGTGCCCCGCATGGTAAGATGAGAACGCGGATTCTGGACGATATTGCTAGCATCATATGCTTCTCTTCTGACTTCAACGAATGCGCGTGGGCAGACACTCTGCAATATGCTCACGGAAAAACCTAAATGGTTTACCATGTTTTGTTTATGTTGAAACGCTTGCATAACGAATATACTTAGTGGGTTTGACATGTACTGGCGCGTGTGGACTTTAATTTGTTTTTCAACCATCCTGTGGTGTTGGTCCCTCGTTTTGGGGACACAATGCCCCACGTGCTTCCTCCTCCTCTCCTCCTCCCCCTCGTCCTCCCATCCTACCTCTGTCCTACGCGCGTCAACCCCACAGGGAGCTCCGCCGAAGTTCCCAGTAGCAGCGTCCGCATGGAGGCACCGCACCCATTTCGCCAAACCCCTCATGCGTTTCGTTTCGTGTGCCTATCGGTGGCTCCGCCGAAAGCCCGGTGGCAGCGTCCGCATGGCGCCACCCCGCCCACGTCGCCACACCTCTCACACGCTTCGTGGCCCCATGAAGAGCTCCGCCAAAGGCCCCAGTGGCAGCGTCCGAATGGGTAGCACCGCGCCCATGTCCGCTCACCCCTGGCACGCTTCGTGGCCCCGTAAAGAGAGTGCGCATGGCTGCACCGCGCCTATTTCGGCACACCCCTTACAAGGTTCGTGGCCCTCCAGGGAGTTTCGCCGAAGGCCTCGCGAAACTCGTAGCCAACGATTTTTTGTTTGCAACATGGGTTCTTGAAAACTGTTCATGTGATGAACGAACGTGTGTGCGGATAGCCTCATACGACTGGGGCGGGAGGGGGGCGTCGATACCGGCTTGGCCGTGGTATTATGATTGCAAATGGGATTTCGACTGGGGAATGAACGATGAGGGATAATCATATTTGCATTGGACTCCTGGGCGCGGGGAGGGGGTGCCTCGTGCACGGTGAGGCGTGGAAGAACGCCAAAGGCTGCCTGGTATAGTCTCTGCATTCTAATTAAAAAAGGACCCTCCATATTCGCGTCTTCTTGCATGCACCGCCCCGCAGGGCTACAGGGCTATGGGGCCATTCTGCTATAGGGCGATGGGGCTAAAGGGCTAAGAAGCTATAGTGCTGTAAGGCTATAGGGCAATAGGTCTATAGGGCTGTAGGGCCATAGTGCTGTAGGGGTATAGGG